TTGAGCTAGAAACTGCTATACAAGAAGAATGGTGATTGCTTAATTCTGCGGTGGTTGACCACCAAATTGAAAGCATGGTCACAAGGTGTAAACTTTGTATACAGATGAGGAGGGATTACATACCCTATTAATGTCCTTTTTTTCCATTTCATGCTGTTTATTTTCACTTTATACATAATTCTGCTTAAGTCTCCAGTATGTCATTATCTGATAACTTACAAAAATTTAATATTATTTTCTTTTGTGTATATAATTATTGATTTTGTTTTATCAATAATTATATACAGAAATGAAATTATGCATAAATATATATGCTACTCTCCTACCGAACTTTGCGTCAATCAAAGCAGTATTTGTTGATTTTTTTGCATTTTACATCTTCATGCTTAACTTTTGGAAGTGAGTGTAGATTCAAGAACGAAGTAACCAGAAGGCAAACACGCGATACTAAGGATTCCTAAGCACTGTCTCACAAATTTCCAGTTCCAGTTACCGCTGTCACTGCGTCTAGCTTGCTAAGTAGCAGCTAAGCAGCATCTAGCATGAGGAGAGCAACACACTGTTTATTATGAAGCGCAGAGCCAGCAAACTTCGTAATTCTAACTAGTTGTTTAGTATTCGAAAGTTTGGTTCGAAATCCAAACTGTTCCGGTGGTAATGTCGTATGATAAGGTTGCATACGAGAAAGTAATATCCTTTCATAATTTTTTTCCAAGCACTGGCAATAAACTGATCGGACGGTAACCGTCAGGTTTCGTGTGATCTTTACCAGGCTTTGGAATTAGAATCACTTTAGCACTTTTCCATTTTTTTGGAAAGTAGGAATGAAACATACATGCATTTAAAATGCTTGTCAATTTACAAACAATATTAGGAGGCAGTTTCTTAATCGCAGTATTTTTTAGTTCATCGTTTCCCGGCGCTTTACGCGGCTTCAATTTTGTAATTATTTCTCTCACGAAGTAAGTTGAACTTCCTTTAAGTACTGCTTCTAACGCATTCGCATTCACCGCGATTCTGAAATCTCATTCTAGTAGGGAGAAGCAAGAACTGAAAGGAAGCGTATCAAAATTTAAAATAACTGTTATAAAATCAACATACATCTTACAGAATTATAAAATAGCAAACAAGTTTTAATAAATTTTTCATTTGTATTTGTAGAAACAAAAAACAAAAAAAAAAAAAAAAAAAAATTATGTGGACACCACATGACTTCTTTGTACAACCCATTAAATTATACGCATTTTTTGCTCACTTCATTTAAACTTATTTCCTCGAATTATTCTAACTTAATTACCGAACCCTCAAGCCGAGTTGAAATGACATCATAAATGGCAAAGTTTGAAATCATATATTCTGTTCAGTTTTTGTCGTACAGGAGTAAACTTCTTATAATTGTACTTTTTCATAACAAGTATAAAACTTTCGCAAACATAAGTATAGGAACTGAGGATCCTCATCAAAAATTAAGATTTCGTTACTTTTAAGGTAATTTTTTTTAATTTCACATTGCCGACTGCAATGGAAAGGGCAGGTGCACAACTAGATGTTATAGCAGGCCATATGCAAAATTTCCACATTCTGCGGCTAATGGTTTATGAGTTACGCGAGATACATGCGTACGTGTAGACGCAATTGAAAAATTCCTTTTCAATTCATTTTAAATCCATTTTACACTCCGATTTGGAAATAAGACTCTTTTATTCTGTCCGTACGTACAAATATCGCGTAAAAAATTGTCAGAATAGATTCAGAAGCAGTCAAAATAGATATTTTCTTTGAAATATGATACCCCCAGTTTTTCTTGATTACAATATTTCCTTAACTTCGTACAAGGAAGTAAAAAGATGAAAATAAAAATAAAAACTGGGAGAATAACATTAAGTTTTACAAAATAAAAAAGTTAAAAGTTAAAAAATGAGAAAATAATTATATTTTTAAAATAAAAATTAAAAGGTGTGTAAGGTTATTATTTAAATTAATCAGTTATCTATAATTTCAGCCTTTGCTATGACTTCTTCTTTCCGTTTCCTCAACGGAATGTAAATGAGTTAAGGTAGTATTTAAGCTGTGGTTTCGGGATTATAAAAGAGAACATGTTTTCGGTCTGCGCGTGTACGCTATTTAGCTTCTGCCAGCTCTGATAAGTTGTAATTATTCGGCTTTGAGTTATCGCTGCCGACACTTGAATCTGACGCGCCAGTAGAGTTACTGAACCAGCATGAGTAAAATTTAAATTGTAGTTCTGGACTTGTTATTCCACGTTTTAATTTTAATTTGATTGTTCCTTTAGTTGGCATCACCACGAGTTGTGATGCAACTAAAGGAACAGTCAAATTAGTTGTGGTTGATATTGTTAAGTGAATTTAGATTCTAAATTGTGTTTAAATAAAAAAGTTTATTTAAAACATTTCCCTGACTGTATTGTTTTTCTAGACATATCGATAATTCACTTTACGTTTGTTGGTGTTGTTGGACTAATTAACAGTACCAGATAAATTCGAACCTCATAGGTGAAACATGAAATGAAAAACTAATTTGAGAAAATGGCATTTGCAGAAACAGAGAACTTAAAAAAAAAATGAAAAATAAGATTTTACTTTTTGAAAAATTAGCATAAAATTAGGACTATAACATAGGTAAAAAGGAAAGAAAATAAAATGAAAATTTAAACTTTAAAAAAAAAAAAAAATTGTTTTTCATATAATAACCAAAAAGTGAAACTTGTGAAAAAAAAAATGTGAATGTTAGTTCTAAGAATGTGTAGAGACATTAGGTAATTTTTGGAAACAGGAGAAATAAAAAATAGCCGGAATCGACAGGACGCCGTCGCCGGAAATTAACCACGGTCCTCTGGAATACACGCCCAACGTGCTGACCACTACACCACGAAGGTATGCTAAGAAGGTGGGAGAACTACCTTATAAAGAAAACAGCAAAATCGTCTGAAATTAAATTTTAAGAAAAGATTTAAAATTAATATAATGTGTCCGATTAATCTGTAAGGGATTTACTGTTTCGCGTTCGTGGGTACACTCAAAAGTATAAAGGCATGTAAGCTTCATGCCGTCCTGGCAACACACCTTTCGATGGTTTGACATTCGCTAACGATCCCTTTCAGAAAATCTTGCAATTACACAAAATTCATTAATTAAAAATGATGTGTCACAATAAAAAATCTAATAATTTAATAAATAATTGTATGATTAGCTATATAATTAAGCAATATAATTAAAAATTATATTCCATTCTGAACAAACGGGTTCTTCTCTTTGGCATCTGGGCTAACTGTATCCCAGCGTATAGATGATACTTTTTCCCAATAATTATCATAGTATAGTGGATAGATTCGTGCTGAAACAACAAGTTCTTCTAAAAAATTCCTAGGACATACAAACTGATGTCATCCTCCTAAAACTCGTGTGATTCAAGATTCCGGAAAATTCTCCTTTTCACAAGGGAGCGAAATTTTGAAAACTATAAAAACCATCGCTGCCACAAGATAAAAACGGAGCCTGTTAAAAAAATATTCATGCTGTTCAATATTGCAATGTTGATGCCATCGCTAGGGGATACAATAATCCCGTATTGCGGCCAGTATAATCTAATTACACGGAAAGGAGAGAAAACCGCTCCCACTGCATGAAATTATTCCTGAATGCTAAAGGAAGCAACAGAGGTATTCAAATTCCAAATTTTAAATTCATGGAAGAGAGGCATTACGTTCAGGCAGCAAGTTTTCATTGCGAATGAGGTGAGCATATTTTATAAACGAATTGGACTACGAACCTTAATCACAAAGACACAAAAGCTGCGCCAGGTTTTCAAACATTTAAGGATTGACTTTGTTTCGTTTTCTTGCGGAAATGCATCCGCTAACATTGTCTAATGCATCAATGTATCATAAAAACATTCTAGTCTATTATGTTGGGTATGGTTACACTTCTGTAAATAATGTCCTAGACGAAGAAAAGCTCGAGACTCTAATGGCATTCTGAAAGCAAAGTCAGCATAAACCATTTCCTAGAAATTATTAAACTCGTATGGGAACAAGTGAATTCATCAACGCTAAATACGTGCTAGAATCAGCTCTGGCCAGAAGCTATTAAATATTTTAAATGATTTTCATCTACTGCAAATGAAGCTAAAGAAATGATGCAGATTGCGAACGTATTTGGCGGCGAAGGAGTTTCAGAGAGCGACAAAAGTGAAATAAAGAATTAATCGAGAAATGACGATGGAAGAACTGGTGATCTTAAACACCAGCCGACAGTGAAAGCAGCAGTAATGAAGAAGATGAAGCGCTTTTAACTTACAAAATTTTAAACAGATTGTCAAAATTAAAAAAAAGGAGCTGTCTGATTTTGCAATGGAGATTGACACAAATGAAGAAAGAAGCGGAGCTAGACGACCAGAAGCATTGGAAAACCAGAAGAACCAGAAGCATTGGAAAATTCTGCGCTCCACACCGCAAAACGTTTTACGATTTGCCTCAGTCGCTGTCCAAAACCAAAACTGATAGCTTTTTTAAAAAATAATTGCATCATGTGCCTACATGTTAAGCAGTAATGTAAATCCTTTTAATTAAAATTTGCTTCGTTTTTCTGTTTTAAATTCAACAGTATTTAGGTTTGTTTAGACTCACTTTCTTCATTTGAACTATATAACACATTTTTTTCCAAGTTAACTTTGCGAAATGCAGTGTTGCTGCGCGAGTAATGTTCTAATAACGGATGACAATTTGGGTAAAGTATTTGAAATATTTCTTTTCTAAACTTAAATATGTCAAATATTATGGATGAATTATAATGCTTACATTTGTATCATTTATTTTATTAGAAAGCAGGTGGAAATGAATGCCTTAATTTAAAGCACCATAAATATATTTTATAGACAATGAAACCGATTTTTTTTGTGTGCAAGAATGATTACATGTATTTGGTGTTAAAAAACGCATGAAATGATATAACTACATTTTGGAATTTTATTTACTTTTATAGCATGCATTCCATTCCTTTACCGACATTACAACTAATCAACGTTCCACCTGGCTTTGTTCAACCATACGACCAAATGGTGAACTTGCAGCCTGCTCCTCCTGAAGAAGACGACGACGGTAATTATTTTTCTTAAGTTCTCGTTTTTTTTATATATAGCATTAGAAAAGAATCAGTAAGTTTTATGTCGCACTGTGTAAAGATGATGGTAACTACGACTACCAAATTTTGCTTAGATATAGTCCTGTACTCCATCATATGCACCATGAAACCTGATTTCTTTTTCGTTTTTACGTTTTGTGAAAACCTAATGAATCTTGATTGGCAGACTCAGCAATTTAAACACATTTATTTTTTCATTAAATTAACAAGCAACAACCTTGTGTTTTGCGTAGATTTAGTTAAGAGCTCAATCGATTTCGAGGGCAAACAGGTGCAGGGCCCTCTTCATCAGGAGCCAAAAAATCTACAAGACCGAAAAACAACGGTCTTATTTATACCCTACAGAAGTAAAGCGAACGAGGGCATAGTGACATCTGTCGACAGTTATAGTAACGAAAATTCAATATTTAAGTTAATAGAATTTTAAAAACGTTAAAATCACTAATCTAGGAAAATCATTGTGAATGCGAAAAGCTTCAAGAAAATCCAATTCAGTAATGAAAGAAGCTTCTTGGATAAATTTTGATGACTCGAAGTCAAAATTATGATCAAATTTCCAACTATGATTAGCTTTGGAAGAAATTTCGCGTTTTCGAACACAAGATTTGTATTCCTTGATACGAAAGTTTAACGCTCTTTTAGTTTGGCCGATGTATCTCACACCACACTGGCATGATATGCTATAAATACCCCGAAAATTAAAGTCACAAATGGAATCTTTAAGAATCGAACCATGGATTTTATTGATAGGCGAGCAAATGACTTGAATATTGAACTTCTGGAGAATCCGTGCAATTTTACAACTGATAGAAGGATTAAATAAAACCATGAGAAGATTATCAATGTTATTTCTGACAGCGAAATGTCTTCTTTTCATGGCAAGCTGAAAATATTTTAAATGCTTTGTCAATGACTACGGGAAAAAATCGTCGACCAGTGGCAACTGATCTCAAAGAATTGAGTCCATTAATAAGCAAAGGTTCTGAGGAAACTTCAGAGGGCTAAATACATAAAAGCAAAAGAAGCCATTTTTTGCGAAGCCGGATTACATGACTTAGCTTGGGGCGATAAATAAACAGAAATGTATTTACGGTAAAGGAGTAGTGCTGCAATCACATTCATTGAGAATTATAAGAATATCAAGGAAGGGAAGGGTACTGTCAGATTCAGTTTCAGAAGTAAACAAGATAGCTGCTTCAGTCGAATCTATAATAATTAAAATCTGGGATAAAACTTCTTTATTACCATGAAAAAGCGCGAAAGTATCATGTCTGTAACGAATCCGGAGAAGAAAAGATAGTTTCTCAAATAATTTGAACTTAAAATAGTTCACGTAAATGTCAACAAATACGGGAGTAAAAGAATTACCCACATCTAATCCTTCAATTTCGCTTGTGTCCGAAAAAGCGAAATTAACAAGTTTTCGATAGCTAATAATAATTGGAAATTTAATCATAATTTGACTTTGGATCTTCAAAAATTATTCAAAAACCTTCTGTTGGTGAATTGAAATTTTTTTTAAAAGCTTTCACATTCACAATAGTTAATAATACATTTTGAAACCATTAGTTAATGATTTTAAGTTCAATCCGTTCCTTCCTAACACTTAAAAATTCTATTGACTTGTAGAGTCATTAGGTTGTTTCTGAAGCAAGAAATGTGGAAAATGTGCAATGCCTTCGCAGGGACTCGGACCAGGACATCTTGCATACGCGCCGAGTGTGCTACCGTTACACCACCTTATATACTCCGCCTTTTAAAGGGCGACTGGGGATTAGGAAACACAGTCGCCAAATCATGATGGTAAAAATTCATCGTCCACTCCCTTTTAGTTCGAGCGGCACTGTAGAAACATTAGTTTATTTTTGATGTCAGGGAGCTGAAGATATCCGCAATGCCCTCGCCGGTACTCGAACCTCGACCGATTGAATACGCGCCGAGTATGCTGACCGTTACATCACGAAGGCATGCTGAAAGGAGGCAGAGAATACTAGAAACTTAATTTTTTAATTTTCGTCGCTATTTCTGCCGATGGATGGTGCTATGAATGTATTGATGTAGGATATAAGTATGACTGTTGCTTTCCAGTTTTACAGATTTCTTTGCTCCTGATGAAAAGGACCCTGTACCTGTTTGCCTTCGAAATCGATCGAGTTCTTGACTAAATCTACACCAAACACAAGGTTGTTGGTTTGTTAATTTTATATTTCACTTTGATGTGTGTCTTTTCGGTTTTAATCTATATTTCCATGTTGTTTAAAATACAAACTTAATTAAATTAGTTGCTAATCAATTTCTTATTCAGGAAATTCCACGATTTTTATTTTTCTGTGAATTCATTAACAAATTTATTCGATTTTTTTAAATATTGTAAAATCTTAGTAGTTTTAACTTTCTGAAAAATATTTCGTATTGATTCTATTATATCGCATTGTATTAATTCTAACAGAAGTAATGATTTTTTATTCAGTTTTGAAGTTGTCTTCTGTTTCTGCTCCATAAAAGCGTAATAGCTCTTCAAGTTAACTTTACAAGAAAGTTCTTCCAACCTTGAACTCTGATTCCCCCCCCCTAAATGGTGCATGAATCTACTCAAAGGAACTAGCTGCTCCCCTAGCCACTATAGTGTCTGGGCGGCATAATAATAAATAATATGTTTACTGAAATAAGAAATTTAATAGGCGAGGAACTTCTTGAAAGCAAGCATGGTGAGAATTTTTAAAGCCTGGTGTGTTCTGATTGACCAAAACGTGGTAGACAAGAAAAGAGTAATATGAGATATTATTATTATTATTATTTACGTGTTCTGCCCTAAGGGCGCTATACGGAAGGGAGGGATGCCTCCGTGGAGTACTTTCTAAGAGAAAATGGCTCTATTAACACGTTACGCTTGGGGAAAACCACGGAAACCAATGCAGCAAGCTCGTTCGCGGGATTCGAACGTCGGACCGAACTACCAGTTTTCAGGAACTTTACCACTCGGCTGCTGTTGGGCTAATCTGAGATATGAACCATAGAATCCATCGCTTAAGTGCAAAATATTTTTTTTTCTACATGCAATATTGCAACTGAAATAAATACCAATAAAGGTATTCAAATCACTGCTAAATAGGTTAGAAGACAGATTTTCATTTACATAGATGAAGACCATGTAAGGAAAACCGTAAGACCCATAAAGATAGCCGACCAGACGGTATAGTGGTTAGGGAAGTCTGACTACGATACCGAAGGGCCTGGGTTCGAATGCCGGAGAAGGCATGGTTGTAACTGGCCGTCCCTTCATAGGAGACGATGGTGGCCCATCTGTTAGGTGCCTCCATAATAAAAAGACCACTACACCTGGCCTTGTATAGGTTAATGGACTGTGTTACACTGTAACTGTTCACAATCTGCCATTGCAAAAAAAAAAAAAAAAAAAAAAAGAGACCTATAGAAATAGCACAAATCGGGGGGGCAGAAAATATGTATTTTCAATTGAAATTCATTGACGTCCCCTCTGAGCATATATTATTTGAGAGATATTAAAATAGAGAAGATTTGAAACTGTTCATTCTAAGAGCAGTTAAACAAGGAGATGGAAATGTAATGGTGTAGGTGTGTTTTTCTTGCAATGAACATATGCAAGTACTTCACATCTATGTAATTATATACTGATTTCAATACAAAGACATTTAAGAATAATCTGACGCTAGCGTATATTCTCGATGGTATCTATGCTGATTTCATTTTTCAAGATAGTAACCATATGAAATTTATCACTCAAGTTGTAAGAAATGTTTTTCAGGAAGAAAGTCTTAGTTGTTCTCATGTCCATTACGATCTTTTGACTTAAGGCCAACTGAGCATGTTTAGAGCATGCTAAAAAAAGATAGTACAAAGTTGTAAACCAAACAGTGCAAACAAACTATCCAACAGAAACCGAATGAAGTAATATTACAGAACAGCAGTGTGGAAAATGGTTTAATACTTGAAATTATTCTGGATTAAATACTTTTCATTGCAGACTTGCATTTTATACATAAGTACTTGTCTACGAATGTACAACATAGATTTACTTGCAATTTGTGTATTTTACATCCAATAAATTTTAAGCAAGGCATAAATATATAAATTTGAAGGGTAAGTTCTTTGATTTAAGAAAGAACGAATGAGTGCATATGTTTTTCATATTAAAGCATTTAATTCTTTATTTTGTTTCATCTTAAACTTTTGTCTTCGCTGTATGCAGCAGTATAATTTAAAGCGTAGGTTAATTAAAAATGAAGTTTAACAGAAGATTTTTAATCTGATTTAAAAAAAAAAAATGAACAGCATGAAATAAAAATGTTTGCTTAAAACTGAGTTTCCAAGTTTTAAAAAGATCATATTCGAAATGATTTTCAAAAATATGAGTTAGTATTATATTGCATTGCATGATGTAGCAACGGATTTCAAAACTATTATCATTCGCACATTCCTTAAAAAGATATGTAAAGTATTTGAAAAATAGGATTTCATTATGAAGGCACGCGACATTTGCTTAAAATTTTGTGCAGTCTCCAAATTCTTTAATAACGTTTTAGAATTAAGAGCCTTTAGTAGAAAAGCTTCAATATGTATCATTTGTTTAAATTAAAAACTTTCGCCTTAGAAATTTATTCTCTCTCTTTTTTTTTCAGATGACGAAGTACAAATTATATATGACTCAAGAGGTAAGTTCTTTCTTATCTGTTTATTACAAATGCACACTTTTGCAATGAGGTGTAACTAATGCGACTATTATCACTGCCCACAAGGTATTACATACATATATGATGGGCAATTATAATCATTTACTATTTTGTCTGCTATATGGCTAGCGAGTGTGCTACCATTACACTACGAAAGCATGCAGAAAGGAGGTAGAAAATGCCTTCATCATCCACCATCATTTCAGTTCGGGCGCTACTGTAGAGTAACTTAGAGTTTTTCAGTCTCAGGAAACTGAAGAAATGAGCTATATCCTAGCCAGGACTCGAATCTGGACCTCTCGAAGACGCGCCGAATGTGTTACCGTTACACCACGAAGGCATGCAGAAAGGAGGGAAAAAGTAGCTTATATACTCCCCCTTTTAAAGGGCGCCTGGGTATAAGGAGACACAAACGCAAATGAAGAATCATCATCCACCACCTTTCAGTCTGGGGGCCATTGTACAGACATAAGGTTATTTTGATGCTGGACACTTAAAAAATGAGCAATGCCCTCGCCAGGATTCGAACCTGGACCTCTCGAATACGTGCCGAGTGTGCTAACCGTTGCATCTAAAGGCATGCAGAAAGGAGGGAGAAAATACCTTATAAACCCAGTGTTGAATTCTGAACTCAAAAATTTCAACTCATCCACAAAAGATTCTTAATCAAAATCATTTTTTCAGTTCGCAAGTGTAAGAAATGTAAGTATTACCTTTCCTTAATTGACTTTAGAAGAGTCGTAATATATCCTAAAATGATTTAATAAATTCATAAATCTCATGATTCCTGATCTTGCATCTTAATATTCATTAGAATTTGGAGTGAGAGAAAGTCACCGCAGGCAGTAAGAAACCAGGACGCGTCAGAGGGCCGATTCGGCGCGTAGGCAGCGTAATGTACAAGTTTGCATTAAATGATGAATTACAGAAGAAAATATTGAGCAAATTACCCTCCTTTTCAGCTTTAGAAAGTTTTCATGGAATGTTGCTCTTGAACGCACGTTTTATGATATTTTCGTAGAGTAAATTAACGTTGTGTAATTTTTACCAAATTAAATGTGAATGTTCGAAACATGACAATTTTGCACCGTTATAGTTAATAAATAATGATGAAAGGTTTTCGTGCTATAGACTTTAACTGAGGTCTTACGGTTTTATTTTTTGTTTTGTTATACTAGTTGTTTAGCAAACGCTTCAGGTTTCAAAATACTATTCTACGACACGTTTATCTTCCGATTTTGCAATGGGGAGCAATCAAACATTATTTAATATCCTTACGTAATCTGTTTGAGTTTATTTTCATTTGTTTCAATTATCATTTACTTAAAAATGAATTTTAAAATTATTTTGCTTCGGTTTAAATTACAGTAATATTTATTGTTTTATTTACGAGGGAAAAAATACTTTAAAAGTTAGCTTAAGCAAAATCATCTTGCTAAAAATTTAAGTTATTTAATGATTTATGGAATGTATTGCTTACATAATTCGGAAGATTACTATTCTGATCTGGTACAAGCCTTCAAAATTTCTCTTTTTTTTTTTTAATTTAAATTATTAGGGATTTTTTTTTTCCTCTGCGCTGAAGCCCAATTTTAGAGCAATCTGAGAAACTGTTTACTCATCTATTTACTGTCACATATTCTTCGGCTATATCCCACATTTCTTCTGTGATTTTATTCACGCTGTGATTTGGTCTGAGATCTTCTTCGAGAGGTGCTCCATCCTGTCTTAACCTGGCACACACATTTTAACAGTGAGTTATGTCATTAGAAGCTGTAACGTTTTCATGAAATTTCGTCAGTGTAAAGTTTTTTTTTTTTTTTTCCCCCAATTTTGTCACCAAACAGTGTTTGATATTTCAAGTATGAGTAGATATTACTGACTGACAGTATTGAACAGCTTCTCAAATATCGGATAATAACTAACACCTGTTCTGTGTGCCTTCCTTTTTATATTTTCAAAGGATGGTAATATTTGAACAGTAGTACACTGCGTTTCATCATCCGATAGGTATTACATACATTTAGCCTGAGAAATTATTAAACTCTCCCCGTACTTTCTATTCTGATGACCCACCTGTACAGCAGAGACAAAGGTATAATTTATTATTTTAACATGTTTTAAAGTTAACTATTTTTATTGACTTTATTCTTTTTCTAAGATGATTGAAAATTATAGAAAATGTCAGAAGACCTATCCATTGATCTCACTGTTGACGCAAACAAATGCAACTGAATATATAAACTCTTAAGGTAAAAAGCAGCGGTTCTCAACCTTTTGACTAACGCGTATCATCTTAAAAAATTGAAAACCTTTAGTACCAACACTAGATTTTACAACGATTATTTTTCAATTTTTGAATAGTAATATTTAAAAAAAAAAACAAATCTGAAAGCTTTCAGATTTTATATTACGCCGAAAGGGGCGTTTTTTTAACGTTTTGTGTGTTACCTTTATTTGTTAAATATCATATTCTTCTCACTTAAATCATAAAATTTAATTCATCTGTAATATCACAAAATATTTAAAAGAGCATATCTTTAGAATTTCCAATACACAGTCTTGCGCGCTGAAGATAATTTTTTTCCCTACAATGTTGACATTACTCGCTTTGAAATCGTTGAGTTTGTTAATAAAAAATTCGTTAAAGTGTTCAGATTCAAAATTCAAAATTGGGCTTCCAGATGCCCATATCGCATATGCCTGTGGAGGACTGCGTTATTCAAAATTTGATGGCTCTAATAAATACCGTTGTTTTATTGCAATGCGAGAAACATACATACATTTATGTAGATTTTTCATTATTTAATTACTTTAAATACAACACAGGGCGATAATATTTGGTGACAACAATTTGAAAAGTGAAACGGGCATTTAAGTTTTCAACGCAAAATGCCAAGACGCAGTTAAGACGTTGTGCGCTAACGCCCTTTGACCTAGAAAGAAAGAAAGAAAATCTGAATGCGTGAATCTTAACTGAACAAAATTCGTTATCTCAGTACTTTCATCCAATTGCAATGCGAAATACTCACTGTGTTTTATTTTTTGAATAAGTGCCTCTTCGATGGATTTGCCATTTCATGAATTCGTCGATTTACTGTATCATTTGATAACGGAATATTATTAAGTTCATTAGTAGCTTTTTTGTTGAATAATGTTAAAACGATATCTTTAGCTGCTGGTAATATAAGGTTGTAGGGATTTATATTTATTTTAACTAACAATTTAAAGTTTGAGTTTAGACCTTTCCTATAAGCCTTCATTTCCCTAATTGTCAGTGCCAGAATAGTTAAATGTTGTAGCGCGCGGATGGAAATGCAAATTTTTTCTACTTTGAAGGAAGTAGTTAAAAAACCGAGTTTCGATAGGAGAAAGGAAGAGTTAGGCTCTAGCTGCCGTAGGTACGTTTGCTTATTATGCTGGTTATTATGCTTTATGCTGGTTCAAGTGGCTTAATTGCATTTATCTTCTGCCACTAGCTTCAAAGGGGGTTTAAGTTACGGGATCTCGCTGAGCCCTGTAGGCTAGTTTTATCACTTGTTAACATTTCAACTTTTAGTTTCAATTATCTGACTTTCAATTACTGCCCAAGCAGAGGCTAAGTTTGTTAGCTTCGAGTTGACGCATTGTAAATTTTTCAAAGATTTAATAAAGGGTACTATAACCCATTTCTTGTGCGATTTTCTGCTACTCCAGTATTCATATAGAAGTTAACCCACCTGGTTTTCTTCAATAGTGTGGGCCTACTCAGTCTTTAATTAGGCTTGCCAGGTAACTAGCTTCCAAAGCTTTTTCTCTTGACTTGTCTATTTTTGAACTCCGAATAATTTCCTCTTAAAATGTTCAGATTTATCCTTTTAACCCGCATGCTTAGATTTAAGATTTCTTTCAAGAAACGATGGTTTCATACTTTGATTGGATAACAGTTCACCCCAAACAACACACTGAGGTTGAGGGTCAATTTCATCTCCACTCCAAGTGAATCCAAATGATAAATAACTTTCATTATATTTTCTAGAAACATTTTTTTTTCCTTTTCAATATTCTTAGTGCTAGTAGATTGTCCTGGATCCATCTCCTGTGAATCGTCACATTTGGCCATTTTTCCATTTTGAAAATCTAGGTTTTTTTTAATTATTTTTCACAAATACTTAAATGCAAAATATATTACGCGTTCTTCAAAAACAGACGACACTATTCTCAAATCGCGTAGAAAAGTAGAGAATACAAAGCAGAAGAACAAAATACAAAGCAACAAGAAAACAAAATACTTGCTGTTAGAGACAGCAAACCGACGTAAAAAATTATTCTCATTGAAAATCCAGCAATATGGACCCGTAAATGGCGGCATAAAGTGCTGACATGCTAATAAATCGATAAACTGTAAGAGAATTAATGAGATTTATCTTTTTTATAAGGACTTATTCTTATTTCCTATTAAATACAGCATCTATTTCTATCACTCAAAACATCATTTATGCCAGATTTTGTTATGTCTAAGGCTAAACGAATATTTAAGTGAAACATACAACATGGAAGAACCACGGAAACTGCCATGCAGACAGATCGTTCGCTTTTGCTAAAGTCTATAGGCGGCTATTGATCTTGAACAAAGCTCAGATCGCATAAATTTACCTCAGATCGCATAAATAAATTTGGTGGTATTTCTCCCACCTTTTTAGCATGCCTTCGTAGTGTGGTGATCTGCACTCTGGGCGCGTATTCCAGAGGTCCGTGGTTCTTTTCCCGGCGAAGGCGTTGCATATTTTTCATTTTTCCTGCTTCCAAAATACTTAATGTCTGTACAAAGGAATATATATTGAGCACATCCGAATCCAAAGATGAAAATTTTATTAAATATAGAAACGATATAGTCAGGATTCCCACTCTAAGAAATGTAAAATGGTTAGTCAGTGAAAGTTAGTAAAAATCTAATTTTTTAATTCCTTCCCGTCTCCTCCCCCCACACCAAATCATTCAGA